AGCAACACACGTGAAACGTTATTCCTTTATCATCAAAATTAGTTGAAAAATAATCAATAAAATCTATAGCAGCTGAATGCTCAAATTCTAAAAATACAAGCTATGAAATCAAAATCTCGATTAACTTATATTACCTTTGAAATGATTTATCGCTTCATCAGCCATTTCTACGTCGTTTTCTCTCAAATCATCTGAGTCATACATAACTAAATAATTTATATCGTAATCGCAACATGCACCTAAAATATCATTTTCACTCTCGGGATTTGTCGACCAACAATCTATGACTTGTCTCGAAGGAGGGACATTCACTTTATTAAAAATTTCACTTTTTAAATCCCCTAAACAAATTGTTAATAACCAATTTAATTAAATTATCTGGAAATTTACCAACGGTATCATTGTTGTGCAATTGAAGATAAATTTCACGGTTCTTATGAGCAATATTAAATGTTAATAACACATCCTGAAATGAGTCGGGCATATTTAAGAAAACTTCAGAATTACAAAATAATAAGAAAAGTACAAATTTCTACAAACATTTACTGCGGGGGATCCCGGAAAGACACGGCCCAAAAAATAAAAGTAATCTAACCAAAAAATTGAAGTTTTTACCTGTCAACACATTAACAGGGCTACCAACAAATTACGTTATATCTAATTTTATCAGCAGAAAACACGTTAATTAAATATTGTAATAAATGAGTTATAATATTTGATAACAGCACTTATCTTTTAGCCATTTGTTATATTTTTACAATTTTTGTTTAGATAATTTGCTAGGGGAATTTCTCTAAAATTTTTCGGACAAAATCCTTAAACAAGAAAGAGGAGGTTTGGCGTTCGACTTACCAAAAATTGTAAGTTTTTGCCTTTTTTGTAAAAATGCGTTGTCAAATCTTTGATCGTTTGTAACAATGAGAGGCCGTAAATCTCTTCCTATTTGGCATTTTAATCAATTGAAACATTTTTATGTTTCAGCGGTAATTGATTTATTTCCTAAATATAACCTTACTTTTTGACAGTTGTGTAATTTTATTAATTTTTAGCCAACCACTCCACCCCAAATATCTCCCGTAGAGTAACAGGAAAAGTACCTTCAAGATGCCTTGGGGGTTGTCAAAACTCAAGCATTTCATATGAAAAGAGCTCTCGATAAAAACAAACTCATGGATGCATTGAAGAACGCTAGTGCTATGCTTGCCGAACTGGGGACGTCTTTATTATCACCCAAGAGCTATTACGAGCTTTGTAAAACGTTCCAAATTTGTATAAATCGATTTCTATTGTTTTGAATTGTAGACATGGCCATCACAGATGAGTTGCGTCACTTGGAACTCTATCTTTTAGATGAGTTTCAGACACGATGTAGTTAAAATGGTGGTTCGACCACAGATTTGAGATTAGTTGCTTGCTAAGCTAATCTGTGGTTCGACTCTGCCTTTTTACGAATGAAATTTTTCAACTCGCATTGCGAACGTTGTCATGGTGATTGTGATATACCTATGATCTACTTCGCGTGTAATAAATAAAAATAACACGAACGGAACCACTAAACAAATGCTCGAGAGCAGTCAAACTTCAATTGTAACGATTATAACTTGAACTTTCATTGAAAATGTTAAATTCAAAAACTCATTAGATACCTACGTTACCGACATGGCTGACAATTTACACAATTTAAAAAAATTACACTAGAAATTGTTTAGACGGAACACCCTGCCTGTATACTGTTTGTTATTCAGTATGTAAATAAATAAGTAAACATAAATATTTACCGTCTTTTTATTTGGCGGTCAAATTAAAACACAGGTGTTTTAGTAAAATTGTATTCATTTAAATTAACCAAAAACTGGTATACATTAAACTTACCTTTTTACAATTAAATAAGTATACGTCGTGCCATCTCAATCACTTCATGTTTTATCTGTATGTAGTAGTGGAGTATTTTGATTCTAAATTTGTCAGTTGTTGCACAGATTCTTCTTTTACACAGAAATTAGAGAAGATTGAAATAGCACGAGGTTTAGACAGAGAGCAATTTAAGACTGATATAAAAGGTATTTTTTGAGAAGATTCGGTAAAGGTAGTGAGGAAACAGCTTTTTTCGTAATGTGTGATAAAATAGCGTCCCGACAAGCTGCTTGCAACGTAGGAACTGAAAAAAAAAATTAATCCAAAAACGACATAAATATAGCAACATACCTCCATATAATTGAACAATTCGGACTTTTTTCGTCGTCCCATATACATCAACAACAACATACAATGGCGCATTCATGTACGGAATGTGTTTAACGCAGACCCCTTGATCCTCCCCGTTAATAATATAATGCATATCAGCCTCATATGAGTCTGTTGGTATGTACATAACTCCTATCCTACTCCCCACATCTGTGGGCAAAATATCGTCCTTGTTAGGCCTCGAGGGTCTCAAAAGACTCATAGGCACATTCCCAAACCTAGTCCTAAACATATCACTATCCGCAAAGGCATATTTAGGTTTCTCCACATTCATGATCCTATAATATTCGAACGCTTTGTTGTGGGCTTTACTGATGCCATAAATCCACGACGTGCCCTTATTGTAACTCTCCACGAGGTCAGGAAGGGCATAAGGGGGCATCGTCCCCCCGTCTTGGCTTATCATCAAAGGACTCAACTGTGTTAGTCCCAAACGCATGTGTCCACTCCATCCGCCTTCATTGGCCTCGATTTCCACCAGAAAAATTTCACCGGGGGCTAAAGGGCGTTCACTGAATGTGAGTCCGTTGTGGAAGCTTTTGCGCCGATATGCTACAGTATTGTCTTCAGTCAAAACGATGTTTTCGCCATGGTAGGGGTGAAATCGGGTGATCGCACTGCGACTTTTGGAGAGATCTTCGGGGGCTTTCGAGTGAGAAGGTTTGGAATGGCTCTTGGTTGAGATCATTGGGGTTGCAGAGAAAGCGGACTTAAAGTTGATGAAAGTTTAAACCTAACCTCAATTTGTGAGTTGTGGTTTGCAAAACTAGATGCTTCTACATGCCACTTTTGATCTTGAAATGGCTAAAGTGGAGACTTGTATTGCAAAAGGTTGCAAATTGTTTATAATGTACGATTTTTAGACAACAACAATCCTTGTTGTTGTATCTTTAGTGAAATTATACTTGCAATGTTGGCACCACAACAGAAGACCTGTTGACAGTTGGCACCTCTCACTCATAATTATTCAAAACAAAATTCAATATTTTTCAAATAATTTTTACGTTTATTAAAACAAAAACTGCGCTAACAAATAAACACTGGTCTTATAAAAAACTTTCATAAAATTTGGTACTATTCTGTATTATTTTTTATTTACATAATTTTAACGTGGGGGATTTTATCATCCCTCATTCAAGGCAAGGCCCAGGGGGTCAGCGCCCCCCCCCCAAACTTGCCGCCAAAAGCTTCAATTTTTTATATTTAAATTTTGATATAAAAACCTTATGACCTAAAGTTTTTTTAAATAAAAACATTAGAATTCTTTTTAAATCACACTTATTAATATAAATCATACATATACCGAGAGACCAAAATAATTTGTAATCGAGTTATTTTTGGATCCGAAAACGTACAGTTGCGGAATTAAAATTTCGGGCAGTACTGTCATTTTCATAATGTAAACTCTAAAAGAACCTTTATATTAATAACCTCATTTTTTACTCTTGTCATATTTATGTCATTTTGACTTATTTACTTTCAAAAATAGTGATTTGTGGCATAATAATGGGTAGTCAGCAGATCAAAACGATGATTTATTACACTTAGTTCAATTAATAAATTTCCCAAGAGAGACAAATTGTTTAATTAACAAATTTAACAACAAATAAAAATAAGTTTAATTGGCAAATGTCAGTAATGATGACAGTAAAAGGTAGTTTACAGTGAACTTTTTAAGAGGACAGAAAAATAGATACTGCCCGAATTTTTAATTCCGCAACTGTACGTAAACGTATGTCTTTTTTTGGAACTGACTGCATGTGAAACGTCAAATGAAATGAGAAGTCGAAAACGGCAAAATGGGCTGGAATTAGTCGCCGACGTATATAAGACCGTTCTTTTTTGAAGGTAAATCATAAATTTAGTTATCTTTTTGATCATGGGATTTTACCTTTTCACTTGTCATTTTATTTGACCATTCACAGACATACGCACAGGACATACGTTTTCGGATACATGGACAAATTACCTTGATCTCTCGATACTTACTTAGTTTTTACTAATTTAAAAAGAAATCATCAATTGTAATTTTCTTTGGGCCACATCTTAGGTATCTAATTAAATTAAGTTTATATCTGTTTGAATAATGAACTTTACCATCTCGCTAGAACACCTTATACACAATTTTCAACTTGTTTTAAAATTCTACACTTTTTGGTTTTTGGGTAATGATGGCAGCGACATTTTTTTTTAAAGGAAACCCCTAATTTCTTTAGCGAATTCGATAGATTTTTTAATTAACGAACGAATATTTGGCAACACCAAAATATTATGTATTACATAATATTCTCAAAAAAATTATCCAAAAAGTGAAATATGTAATTTCAATAAAAAAGAAAGATACAATTTTAAATCAAGTTAAAAAATTTGTATTTTTTAAAAAGAAAATTGACCTGTTCGAGCATTTTTCCAAAACAAAATATTTTCGGTTTTAATAAATAAGATTATTCTACAAAGTGGTTATAAATGATTTTCATCTAGCCAGTTGTGAATTTTTCATGTAAAATAAAAAATGCCGCTTTACGAAAATAGGGGTACCTACTTGTTTTAACTCAAAATCAAAAAAACGCTGTTTACTAAGCGTCCTCTTCGAAAATAGACTTCAATTATAAACTTGTTTTCTTCCAAAGTATACATTATTATCAATTATTATTGGAAATTAGTTGAAACAATAAAAGGTTAATTAACAACAATTTATTATTAATTAATAAGTGACACTAATGACAGAACTAGAGCTTTCAAAAAAGTAGAGCGGTACAACTGTTAACAATGAAAACTTCTATTTTTGATTGGCTAACGACTGTTGATTCATTAAATATTGATTGGCCGACAGCTGCCATATTGTCTAGTACGAATAATTAGAAAGTGAATAGTAGGATTTTCATTCGGTATTTTTGAAACTGGCGAAATAAAACGAGACGAATGCAAATAAAAACTAAATGTATTGCTTATGTTATTCTTGAATACAGAAACATCCATGAGTGTATATACAAATGAATAAAACGAACAATAAATACTAATGATGACAACTTAACATACAAATGTAATAAAAAAATTGATTATGATTTGAATGAGCTCTCGGATATTTTTAATAAATTGATAAATAAATTGATATGAATCTGTTACTAGAATTTATTAAAAAATAACACTAAAAACTGATAGAATTAGTAAAATATAAAATTCTAATTCTAGCAGTTTCTTAATAAACAGATATGACGTCAAGATATAAACATTTGAAATATTTACAACAATATACGATTTCCATACCAAATCAACACCTACAGCAACATTTGAGAAAATTAATAAAAAGAATTTTTATGTTAAATTGAGCATGTAAAAAATGTCACCATAGGTGTCAAAAATCAAGAAACTAAAACCAAAATAAGAACAATAAATGGCACGAAAATTGTTGTTCCACCCTTTTTCAAATTTTTAGTGTCAATAACACAAAACTTTGGGTACCATAAAAACCTTAAATCATAATACTGTTGTCCTCCCACAACTTCCCCACAAAATAAATTTGGCACTTGAATTATAATACTTAAATAAGAAAGAATTAAAGAAAAATTAGTCCTATAATAATATCCTATGATAAAATGTTCAACAATAATAATTTAAAATCGCCACGGATTTAAAAACTAGCCCTTGACTATAAAATAACATTAAAACAGATGCTTTTCAGATTGTCACACACAAACTTCCATACTATCATCCAAATTAATTAAATTATCACCGCTACATAATTTTAATATTGTTTTCTTTATTCTCAACGCTGGTAATCGCACGTTGGGGTTGTGATGCCAACATTCTCGCATTAATTTTGCCATAACACTCAGTATCTAAGAAAAACTGTGATAAAACTTACAAATCATGAAAAATAATACATACCGGATCACTAGCCCATCTGTTAAGTAAACTCGGACGTTGCTGATCCACACACACAACCTTCCTCATATCTTCAAAACTGGGATCATTGGGCACAACGTCATAAAATGGCGGCTTATAATCCTCCGCAATCCCATTACTGACCGTCCTTCGGCATAATTCCCAAAGGACGAGCCCTAGAGCATAAATATCGGCTCGACGAAACGAATCAAAGTAGTCCATTCGTATCCTATAAGATACCTTTAAAAAGTTATAATAAAAGAAAAAACACTCACGTTTCGTCTAAAACCTCGGGAGCCATGTATCTTTTCGTTCCAACCTTAGGGTTCGAACCAATATCTAATTGATCAGTGGCTTGTTGATGAGTCACCGCAAGACCAAAATCGGCTATACAACAAGTCCCGTTATTTTTGACTAAAATATTTTTGCTTTTAATATCACGGTGAGCTATGGCTGGCTTTCCCTTTAAAAAATCAAAATAAATTCACTAATGAAAGTCCACTGAATAACTTACTTCAGTCCCGAATATCTCCGTGTGCAGGTGTACCAACCCATTAGCGATGGACAGGCATAAACGGAGCAACTGTTGATGGGTGAGTGTGGTGCGATTTAGATGGTCGTAAAGACTGCCCAATGGGTGGTAATGTGTGATCAACCATAGCTGAGTACATGAATTACGAGACGTCATATCCGACCCGATGTACCCCAAAATATTTTCGTGACGTAACAAAATTGTACTAAAATATACATATGAAATTTAGCCCAGTCAAATTAGACAAAAATAGGGCGATCGGTGGAAAAAAATCCTAGAGAGTTGGATTTTTTTTTAAACGCTTTCTTTATTCTTGTGTAGACAAATATCAAAAGTCCCCGAAGGTGCGGGGCGAGCTCGAGGAGGGGGCTAAAGGTGGCTTTTTTGTTTTTTTGCTTATATCTCGAAAACTATTACTCCTAACGGTTTTGCCTGCTTATCAAAATTAAAGCCTACAAAATTTCCTACAAAAACTGTAAGCGAGTTATAGGGCTGACAAAAAACATCATTTAAAAAAATGTGCTTTATCCGCATTTACAACAGAATTAATCTTGTGATTTGAAAAAACTGAAAGCATATTGAATTTATTGTGTGCAACACTTCATTAGAGAGTCTATAAAGTCTTCCGAGTCATCCTCATATGCTGCATCTTCGTCTTCAACTTAAACATTGAAAACCGAATTACAGTCTTGTTCAGTACAATATTAATAAATAGATGATTTAATATCGATGATTTGAGTAAAGCTTAGAGTAAATTGAATGTATTGGATCCAACAGTTTATTAGAAGGTGCCACGAGGGTCTATCAAGTCTTCCGAGTCATCCTTATATGCTGAACTAGCATTTGCCTGCGACTTTGTCCGCGTGTATTTCTGATATTAAATGGGAAAAAGCCCGTTCACAAAACCATTCCATAGGCTTAGGTACTCTATAAAGCTAGAAAATTACCTATGTTATGTATAGGATTCAATTATAGTAGTCTCGTTCTTCGCATCGGCTATGTTTATGGATAAATATTAAATATTGATTTTCATAAAGTGTCGTTTCATTGCACTTCTGCACTCTCAAAATTCGAAATTTCATGTTTCTAATTTTGTTTTTAAGCGTTTAAACTCTAGTTTATGTCATTAAAATTTGAAAAGTGCATTTCTACACTCTCTAAGGATCATATTTTCTAAATTTAATGTGTTTATATCCCTTTAAATGTGTACACCGTTTTATTCCCTTAAAAACTAATTTTCGAAAAATCTGATTTTAGTGCCCCTTTACACCTCTGAAGAATTTTATGTTTATATCTTTGTTTAAACATTTACACCCCATTTAACCCCCTTACAGATTGATTCTCTCTTACATCCAATTTTTTTTTATATCTCCGTTTAAATGTTTACACCCGAGTCACCTTTCAGGCAGACCAGCTTAGTCGAGGAACGCTCTACACATATAAATACTAACCATAAACTAATGAAATGTGTTTCAAAGGATTTTTAATGCAATTTTATGTAGACTCCAAAATTTTCAAGTCTACAGTTAGTCCTACGACAAAAATGAATAAGACCATTTTTGTAGGAAATTTTGATGCAGAAATAGACATCAACAGAAAATTCTGCATAAATTACATAAACGATGAGTTTGTATTTATAGACCCTCGTGACTCCCCCTTCCTTTAATGAAGTATTGGATCCAGTAAATTTAATTTACTGTCAGTTTTTTTTTAATTACAAGACTAATTCTGTTTTAAATGCAGATAAAGCCAATTTTTTTAAATGATGTTTTTATTCTGCCTTATAACTCGCTTACGGTTAGTCCTACAACAAAAATGCAAATGACCATTTTGTAAGCTTTAATTAAGATAAAAACCTATGAGAGTGATAATTTCCGAGATATAAGCAAAAAAAAACAAAAAAAGACACTTTTAACCCCCTCCCCCTCCTCGAGCTCGCCCCCCACCATCGAGGACTTTTGATATACATATGTTTACCCAAGTGTAAAGAAAGCGTTTAAAAAAAATTACAACTCTCTAGGATTTTTTTCCACCGATTTGTCTAATTAGACTGGGCTAATTATGGCTACGATAGGTTAGAGGCCAACCTGTATATTTCTGTTTCCCGATTCCAACTTGCTTCATCTCGTGAGAAAAATATTTTCACGGCTACGTTTTCGCCGAACCAAATACCTCGCCAGACCTCGCCGTAACGACCTTTTCCGATACATTCAGCGAGGGAGATTTGTTTTGCCATTGTTCTTTGGATCAGGAGAGGAAGACCAGAACCGCTCCCCGATGTTAAAGAATTTTCGAGATATTCGCGTAAAGTGCTGTCACCTGCAGCTGTCGCTCTAAGTAAATCATCAGAAGCGTAATACGTATCAGGGTCCAAACGGCTTTCGTGACATAGTCTTCGCTGATGGATGCGTCGCATTAGGTAAAGAACGATGGCACCTGATGAAAAAATCGCAATTTTAACAAATATGAAAATTTTTACAAAAATTTTCCAAATCTTTAAAATCGGTATCATTAATACAGCCAAAAAGTTATTTGATATAATAATATATCCCATTCTCTGTAATAGTTTTTTTTTACATTTAAAACAAGTAATTATAATGCATTAGCTGTAAAAAATACAGGGTGATTCACATAACTTTACGACCCTGACAAACTTTAAATGCAACACATTATACACTATTCATCTATAACTTGATACTCTTACTTATGTTTAATTAGCATGAAATCTGGACACCCCTAACATCAATGGCAATTATAATTGACAATTTGTTTTTCTTAGAGTTCCTATATTAGAAGAGTTGGGACACTGAATGTCAGTTTTCTAATTTTTCTTTTATATACGTCGGCTGATGTATAATAACAATAAAATGGGATACAAATCAGTGGCGTTTTGGTAAAATTTCACTTAAAGTCAGATAAATTTGTCAAATAAAAATTGACCTCTGTCCTCGGTCATTCTGACCAATTCTGCTGAGTCCTATTGTGTTAATACATAAAGAAACTGTGAGTAGTTTTTTGTGCCATCTTGCCCCAACTCTCGAGACAGTGTAAGACAAGTGGAACCTGTTTAAAACTCGCCAAATGGAGAGTGAGTCCCAAAAGTAAGATTTATCAAAAAGGAAGGTGAAGCTTTTAACAAGATGAAGGACTTATTATTCGGTTGTTTGGAGTATTTTATTTTATCAAGTCAGGTCAGGTCTAATTTTGTAAGTTTTAGGTTTTAAAAGGTTTTTTTGGAGACACTATCAAGTTTTTATTACTCATGGTAAATGCTGCCTGCAGCAATTGTTTTACTTTAGTGTGTACTTTTTGTTAACATAGTTTTTTCCTGTCGGGCCGCATCTTAATGTCTATTTATCTTCTACGTCCCTGACTAAATCTGACGTAAAATTATGTCAATTTGTCAATGGGACAAAATTTATAACCTTAAAATAATTTTTAAAATAAACTTGACATTAGTTGCTAGGAAAAATTTTAATGAAAAAGGATAGAACGTACACTATCGGCCAAAAGTAAAGAAACATTTGCGAATATTAAATATTTCATTGTAGGTGTATTTGATTTTTATATAATTTATTACAAGTAATTTGTTGGGTTATTCTTAAATATATTTTACAGAATTTAGTAAGAATTAAACAGTTGTTGTTGAATGAAAAATTTATTTTATTTTTTCAAGGGACAAAAGTGAAGAAACAATAAATTTATAATTACATATAAATGTTACAGTTTAATAATGGGTTGCAAATCCTTTATGTTTAATTACCTCAGCGCATCTTTTCGGCATGGAATCGATTATTTTATTAATATATTCTAAGCTTACGTTTTTCCACGTTATTTTTACGGCTTCGATTAATTCTTGTTTTGAATTGAAACCTCGACTGTTTTCTTCTCTTAATTGACGATCAATATGGTCCCAAATATTCTCAATAGGATTGAGATCGGGACTCTGAGCAAGCCATTGCATTACAGGTATTTGTTCCTTTAAAATCCAATCTTTTGCAACTTTGGCTGTATGTTTGGGGTCATTATCGTGTTGAAAAGTCCATCTCAGCGGCATATTATCTTCAGCAAAAGGAAGTATTTCTTCTCTTAAAATACGAAGATAAAGAAATATGTCCATTATTCCATCAATAACGTGGAGTGGTCCTACTCTGTGACCGGAAATCAACCCCAAAACATAGCACCACCATGTTTCAAAGTCCCTTTTGTGTATTTAGGATTAAATCTTTCCTGTTTTGGTCGTCTTACCCACTGAATTCCGTCTGAGCTATGCAGATTAAACTTTCATTCATCGGAAAATAACACATTTTTCCATTGAGTAGGTGACCAATTTAAATGCTCTCTAGCAAATTCCAATCTGCGCTGTCTATTTTTGGCAGAAATAAACGGTGTCTTTGCTGGTTTTCGCCTGTAGAGTCCAAATTCATTCAGTCTTCGTCGAATGGACCTCACTGATATACCCACATTTGGAATTTGTTGTCTTATTTTTACAGCAGATAAAAATGGATTATTTTGAGAGTCTTTTATTTTTTTTTATCAGTCACGTTATCCGTTTTACGCGGTCTTCCACTTTTTGGAGCACTTACTAAAGTTTTTCTTTTTTTAAATAAGGCAATTGTTTTCGATACAACACAGCGATTTAAGTTCAATTGCCTGGCAATGTCAATTTGTTTCTCACCCGCCTCAAATTTGTCTATAATTAGTTTTCTCAAATCTTGAGACAGTTGTTTACCTTTAGGCATAATTACAACTCTTTAAAGAACAATTTTTGTAGGAACTGTTTTGCACCGACGTTGTAATTAACTTTACAATAGGTAAAATGAAAATGTTTCTTTACTTTTGCCCTTAGCAAAATAGTAAAAAGTTCACTGTATGTAGAAACATTATCCAACTTGACCAAAAAGCTATAAAAAATGATCTTAAGTAGAAGTAAGTCTTGTGCACATAAATCGTTTTCGTTCTCATATTTATATGAAAAATAAATAAAAAAATCAATTGTTTCTTTACTTTTGGCCGGCACTGTATATACCTTATCCACATAATACAAAATTGGCTCGGTTTGACGTTCAGTGACCAGTTGGAGACAAAATACTTTGGTCGTCAATGTCAATTGAGTGACATTAAATTGTAAAGCATGCTTTAGGACTGTTAACCTTATTTTTAACTACTGTCAATCATAGTTGACAAGTTGTATGTACATATTTTTGATAGAAAAATATAATAGCTGTTATTAATTTAAAATTGTCATTTATTTTAACATTAAGGCTTGAATTACATTAAAGTGTCAGAAAAGTGACGAGCAAAGTATTTTGTCTCTAACTGTCCCAACTCTTCAAATATAGGAACTCTAGTTTTTGTAAAATTTCAAAAATTTTGTTGATTAAAAATGTATTTAATGACTAAAGGGTCGACATGATATTGATTTATGTATAGTGAGTGTCAGAAGAATGCAGTAGCGAGTAGCAGCCGAAAATTTGTAAAATTTTTAGACAATTGGAAGTTGAACTACGCCTAAATTGGCCAAAACAAAAACGCCATAGACGACGGACTGCAACGAATCCTGATAACGAAGTAAAAATTATCGAAACTGTGGATAATAACCCACACGTCAGCCAAACGCAAATTTTGAGAGAAATTGGGATTAGCCAGTCGTCGGTAGTAAAACGCATGACCACTACGTAGTACCGATTGTTGTCCCTTAGACTACTTTTTATGGGAACCCTCAAGAACAAAGTTTACGAAACTCCGTTTGCAGATACCTATGGAAACTTTGAAAAATATAATTCGTACTGCATACCGAGAAATTACACCAGACATTTTAGGGAGAGTTCGACAGTCTTTTGTGACGCACATTCAAGCATGTTTACAAAATGATGGACATCAGTTTGAAATTTTGTTGCATTAAGTTCTCTAGTTTCTTGAGTTATTTCACTGTTTTTTTTACTATTTCACACATTTCACTGTTTCTTTACTAAAATAAAAATGTGTTGTTACTCCATTGTAGTCATTTATTTATTGATTGGCGTTATTAGATTTTTATGAGAAATGTCCTAATCTCAAATAAGTTTCTAATTATTAGTCTTTTTGAATCAAGTTATAATTGAGTAACGTATTGCTGGTTGCATAAAGTTCGTCAGGGTCGTAAAATTATGTACAAAGTTGGAATATTTTGTTGGTCATCTTCCACTTACCTAGCGTTCCAATAACCACAACCGGCCCCAGAATCGCCGCCGTCATCTTCAGCGCATAATCAACTGAATCAGAATGCATCGTCATATTCTTGGTATACAAAATAGGCAATTCTGGGAAATCCCCCTTGTTGCAAAAATCGCCAGTGCAGCAATCAACTTGAAACTGGCCACTGGCTTGTCGCTTCTGTTGCCCACTGAAGGACGGAGTACGGCATAAGAACGGCAGTTGGTCTGTTTCTTTTGTACAACCTCTAGTCACAGTCTCTAGTCCTGAAAAAATTGATAAATATCACACAAATCTCACGCAAAATACCATATTACCAGACGTTTCTCGCACTCGCGATTTCCAGCACTGGATAGCATCAAAACACACCGTTGGATTGGAACAATTCGGAGGGTCACATAAGTGGCATTTGTAACGCTTTACATTGTCGTTTGTTATCTGATTTTGATGGATTTGAAAAGTCTCCAGGTTTTTAGGTAGAGCACTGTGCTCATTGCTGATTTCGTCGTCTTCATCCTCGGCGTCTTCTTTCAGCTGAGGCCTTTGGATCACTTCACCTGCGGCAAATCAAAACATAAAAAGCGTAAGAAATCAAAACAACATAAAATTTCATCCAAGAAATTATTAACTTTTGGGATCATAAATAAGTGACTCACCTGTGCAGATTTGTATTAATAAAACAATTAATAAACAATTTATGGTACTTGTGGCGGCCATATTACGCCGTATAAATAACAACACAAAAGTTGGGGTTTTTGTTTGGTTTTAGTGGCAATCATGGACTTCTGAGTGCAAGCGCTAAAAGAATATTTAGCTTATTTTTATTAATCATTTAAAGAAAAGTTTGTAAAGAAGAAATTTGGGTTGTAGTGTTTCGTCAATATGGTTTTTATTTATATAATTTGAGTCATGTAAGTAATAATGAGACATAAGTCCGTTTTCGACCTTGTGGATGTTAGGATGCTTAAGGTGACAATATGGAAGGCGGCAATTTTAAAAAACATGACACGATCATAATAATCTATTTATGCAGTAATATTTACATTCTAACACTTTTTGTCAGAAAATATGTTACATAGAATTGTTTTCACATTATATTAAAAATATATAGCTTATGAGCTATGGAATGCATACACAGACTTTTCTTTATTGAAAGTTTGTGAAAAACCTATTGAGATCGTGAAATGCTAGTTGAACAAGTTTACAATAATACTAGATGATTAATTGTAGAACATATTGTCTAGTTACTTTTTTTTGAACGTATTACGTGCGTTTACTATACTTCCTTAACTTTTACGTTTTACCTAATTATTTACAAAAGATGTTACTAATTAATAAAAATAATACAATATAAAAAATCACAAAATAAAAACCTTAATTATCACATAACATTGTAAGCACCATAGTAGGTATAAAAACAGCAAGAAAAAAAACTAAATCTACGCTTCATGTTCATTACTGTTAATACCAATCAAGGCTTCTGTTTGTTCCGAGGGCATTTCAGCAAACCTGAAACTTCACAATAATCTTGATAAACAAAACCAAAACTCTTTCAATTTTAATTACCGCATAAATCTGGTTCGTCGGAAAATACTTAGATAGGCACAGCGTAAAACATCGAGTACAGGGTCCCAATTGTCGTAGTGTGAAAGTAAAGTGACGGCAAGAAACGCCACCACCATAGGAATAGTCCCTGTGTAAAACAGAGACGGATACACGATTTTTTTCAAAAAAACATCCGTTAACATCGTCATTGGAATAGTTAAACTCATTGACATCGTAGCCATCAGCGAGGACGTCAAAAAACAACCCCTAAAAATGTTTTGTAATATTTTATCACCCTGTTGAAAACACTCACCATAACCATAAAGCCTCCGAGATAACAGTTCCTAAAATCCCATTCAAAAGCAAAAATAACACTTGCTGCTTCGACGGCCATTCAAAAACTTCCAATTCGCTAAAGTGCAAAAAGAAAAAAAATGGCCACAGAAGAATCAAATTGAAAAATCCCACAAAACCTGCAAATTGTAAATTATTTTTTGAGATTCAGAGGGAGATAAAATACCAAAAAATAAGGGAATATCGATTTTATCCTCGTGATCCACTTTTCTCTTGAGAAAAACTAAATAAGTCGCGTAGAAAAATGCGCTCAAGAGGGAGAGAAAAGCGCCCAGCGGAACGCGGGATTCGAGCGAAAGGTCTGAAAAGCTCACCAAAGTCTGAAAAAATTTGTAAAGTATGGTAGACAAACTTTAAAAAAAATAAAAAGTAAAATAAAATTCAACAAATTCATTCATAGTATTTTAATAAAGGAAGTTAGCAGTTCCGGTTTTTGATTTAATTAAAAAAATATCATTAAACGTCATAAAAAAAAATCGTCTAAGAAAATTTAGAAATGAAAACACAAAAACGTGGACAAATTGGGTACCGCGAACAGTTTTTTGGAAATTTAAAGACGAAAAGTGTGCAAACAGAAGTCAAAAAAAGACCACTGCTAAAATTTAGATGCAATTTGTAATGCATCAAAGAGAAAAAACGCAATTAAATTAGTGGGTCGAAGAACGAGCTGAAAAAGTAAGAATTTTGAAACTAAAGCTGATGAAGAATTTATAAAATGCATCAACTTTGAACTCATTTAAATAAATTACACAAAATTTATTGCCGATCATCATAATACCCACTTGGATCTTTTGCTAAATAACTTTTTTTGTAGCAACAATCTCATTTTTGTCGACAACATTGTACTTACTTGCGGTGTGTTTCTATCAAAATTATTAGCACTGAATTCTGACTTTAGGTAATGATGTCTGACCTCAAATATTCAATTATAGCTCTTTCAAAGAGCAAACAGGCACACAAGATTCATAAAAGTCAAAATTTTGACAACATCTCAATTTGAAAACATAACCATAATTTTTTTAACAAAATTTCTAGGGATAAAAACAAAGAGCAATCAAAATTTGAGGCTATGGAGACAAGCTGCTACCAATTTTTTCACCAAAATTTTGACTTGGTAATTTCCATTAAAAAAAAAAAAACAGACTTTATACTTACAATTCCTAAAATACTGAGCAACACGGCAAGTAATTTGGACAGAGTGAACTTATCACTCTGACTGGAAGGAAAAACGGCGGCTAAAACTAGAGTAAAAAAACTGGAAGTCGAAGACAAGACATTAACCATTCCCGCCTCAGTTTGAGCTAGAGCTACTTGGTAGCTATAGTTGGCTAAAAACCACTAAAGCCAAAACATTGTTTTTTTTTCATATCTCCCAACTCACCAAAACGCAAAAAATGAGCGATATTTTCGCCACCCTCAACACAGGAAGTTTAATCGCGGCCCTTTTTGCAATTTCCCCTGCCCTTAAAGTGGCCTGATAGGATAGTCGTGCTAGGAGAGCCTCCGTGGCGTCTGTCTCTGACATGTGCCTCACTTCAGCTAACTTATTAAAACGGACAGACCGAACAGAGGAGTCATCACTTTCAGTGCCTGAATTCTTGTCAAGTTCTGGGGTTTTTACAGGGACATAGACAGGGTTACTCAATCTGCTATTGTTATCACTGTAATAATTCTCATCTTCTTGTTCTGTATCCACATGAATGTAATTCGCTGGACGCGAGCAATTATCTTTCCAAGGCTGCCAGAATAGAAACCCTAGCAGGTATATTGTGAACATTGAAGTCTTGACATAAGTGCAAAAAAACGGCTTTTCAAAAGTTTCACTGCTGTAAATAAACTACAAAGAGGGACTTGAATCAATCAAAAGCTTCAAGCTTACCTTTGTAAGTTCCGAGGATGCAACCCAAATCACGTCGACTAAAATAAGCACAACAGAACCTAAAATCAAGCGTTGGGTTTTGGTTAAAGACGAGCCAAAACTTCCTGAATCCATTTCCTCGTGCCCATTAATGCGCTTTTTGTGACAAAAAACATATCGAGTGTTCTATTGAACAAACCTTTGGGATAACAAGGGCGTAAAAAAACCAGCTGTGGTCAAGTCCGTGGACGACATCTTCACGAAACACATCCGGCGACAAAAATTATCTAATTATTTTGCTACTTGCACAATCGCTACGTTATCATAATTAGCCGCAAAAATTCAGGATTTCTGTTTACGATTTTTTTGACAGGCTTGACAAGCTTTTTGACATTGACAGCTCGAGAGTGCCGGATTTCGGACGCGTTGACATTCGAGTATTCAAACAAGAAAGTTTTTTTTATTTATGATTTAATTTTATAACAATACTTTTTTCTAATTTGCGTTTATAATACGTTTATTAACGTCTCTCAGTAGGAGTCGTTTATGGCTATCTGTAAAAGCACATTGTACTTTAATGAATTTAGGGTTATTTAGTTTTTATATGCCTGACTTGTCAGGTAACAAATTTTGCGGCAATTTCGCGAAATTCGGGCGGAGTGCAAACTAAATTCTGTTGGCTCATATTTTATTTATTATTATTATGTTGTAACACTAATAACTTAATAATGTGTAAATTTTATTTTTAATGACAGACGGCAGAAATGATTCAAAAAATCAGGTGGGAGCCGAGTATTACCAACCGATACCAAATAACACAAAATTCTCTAGACGACAAAAATATTTTTCTTTTAATTAAAATAAGAAAAAAGGGGGCGCAAATTAGAAAAAATAGCATAAAATACTCGTTTTATAATGGCATTGGCGCACTCATCCCATAGAAAACTCGCCTACGGCTCGTTTTTTAACTTGGGATTCGTGCGCCAAATCAACTCTTATAAAACTTGTTCTTTAATATACTATAATAAAACCTTGTAACATAATGTAATTTCAATGAAATAAATAGTTAAATGCATCCGCATTGATTATTTGATGTCTGGTAACCACGCAACCACACTTACAACATTGCGTTTTATCAATTTGCATAATCTCTACTTAAATGAGCAATTTAGCAAATGGAAGAGAGAATGTGCGAATTTCTGCTTTTTCAGGTATAAATGAGAGTAAGAGTTAATTTAGTAATTATTATAATGTGTATTTTAGGCCGTCAAAAATCCAACGAAATGCCGTGGCCTGAGCCTAATCCTTTAGAGAAATTAAACTGGCTCATACATTTACAACATGTTAGGGGTGAAATTGCACAGTGCAAAAACTTGATTAAAAATGAAATCAAGAGAAGCGGAGGACGAAACGAGTTTGTGTATTTTAAACAGGTAGAGAGAATTAATTGATCAAATAGTTTTAAATATTTTTCAAAAAATAAATTAGGGAATCATCTTGCGCGAGGAGGGCAAGACGCAAGAATCCCTCGAGTCGTTCCAAACCTGCATGAAATTGAACCCCGAGAATGCAGATGCAATCAAAGAAGTCGGCAAATGCCTGTGAGTTTTATCTTCTCGAATTCATTCGTAACTCAATTATTTTTCAGCTTCGAAATGCGTAGATTCCGGTTATCACTTGAGGCTTATTTGGAAGCTGAAAAAGTATCAACCTGTCCTGACTGGCAAATTTATTACAATATAGGTACAAAATATGAGCTAATGGGATTACATATCACATTTTTTGTCATGAATTTTCTTTTTATTACAAAGGACAATGTCTGATGAGGCTCGGAGAAACAACTAAATCAAAGGAATACGCACACAAAGCTGTCCAATTGGGGAAACACGAAGCTGCTTATTCTCTCCTTATCAAAATACTTACTTAGGAAGGCGATTTGAGAAGCGCCATTTCAGTTTGTAATGCCGCAATCGAGTGAGTATAAAATTACACAAGATTTGTTGTTTTTGGAAAAACAGCTTTGCGCATTTGATTTGAATTTATATGGCGTACTTTTGAAGTCGTGAAAAGAAGAAAATTCAAACGAGGGTGCGATGATGTATACATATTTTATTTTATGAATTTATTCGACTTCCGTTTTATGCACGTCCTAGGATTCGTAGTTTTTTTGTTTCACATACAGGGTGTTTGTGGATTGCGAGCAAATATTTTAGCCACTAATAAGAGAATTTGTTATCAAAAGTCGAATTGAAGACCAAACAAATTCCGTATCCAAATTTAATTTTTGCAATTTCCCCCCTATGATTTTTACGAGCCGTTTGTGTCTTCTTGTTAGTTGGAAGTAAAAATATCAATGAAAATAAATTGCATTGAATGTTGACCGTGAAAGCTTTTATACAGAAAAAAGGAAACTTTTTGTCCAAAAAAATTATCACTTGTTTACACGTGTCAGTTTAGTTAGTCGTTAATGCGCTTTCGGGTGAATTGTGCACATCGATTTGAAATCAAATTGTCAATCAAGTCATTATGGCCAACTACTCAAACGCCAAATTAACTAGTGTACGGACATCACACTTCCAAGACCGATTTTTACTAAATGTTTGGGCAGAGATCATTAAAGATCACCAAATTGGACCCCACATAATACCTCAACGTTTAACTAGTGCCGTTTATCTGGATTTTTTGTAAAATGTGTTGTCCGATCTGGTGGAGGACGTGCCCTTGGCGACACATGCGGTATTTACAAGTGGAGCTCCATCAGATTATGCCAAAGTCGTTACCAATGGATTGAACAATCATTTTCCCTAGAGATGGATTGGCCGCCAATGACCACCGCGGTCACCAGATTTAAATACGTGTGTTTTTTTGGGGGTTCACATGAAACAATTAGTGAATTAGTGTACGCAGCTCAAATTTATACCTTCGAAGGGCTGTGTGTGCGAACGCAAGCTTCCCTAGCCCGAAGAGTACAAAAAGTGTGCATTGCCAACGAATGACCACATTTCGAGCAATTTTTTATAATAGCAAGTATTGACCCACTAACATTGACACTGATCTACGCTAATGTAGAGATAATTTTTTTGTCTTTACGCTGTTTACGTTCCAAAGTTTTTTCTTATGAATGATTGTAAACATCGTATTAAGACATAGGCGGGGACGGGTTTTCAGCCTCAATTTATTTTTAATTTTAACTCAGAAATGACGTGCTTTCGACAAAAGTTGGAATAACGAAAGTTGTTTCTTTTAATGAGTCCTATTAGTGGTTAAAATATTTGCTCGCAATCCTCAAACACCCTGTATATCCACATTTTGCATTAAAACATTCAAGCCAGACCATGTTTTAAGTTATGGTAATAATGAAAACTATTATTTAATAAACTTTCAGGACTGCTAAAATAAGGGCTTTTTAATTATTTATCAGTTTCTCACATAGCAGACATACGCCAGAACTCGCGCCCCAGAGAAAAATGTCATATAAGAAACCAGGAAACAGAAAAAATGTTAAAAAAATTTTATCTATAAAAATTTAGAAGTTATGAGGGTTTAAATTTTTCACTTTGACTATTTATTTCTGTTGGATAAATAATTTTCCAAGTTTTTTTGCTATAGGTTATTAAAAGAAGAAACAAGAAAGCTGTATCCTAAATTGTAACTCTGTTCAATGTTTTTTGTGGCTTTTATTGGCAAAATTTTTGTGCCTTTACTAAATAATTGTAAAAAAAACATATACATTAGTATCATTAAACATACATAAAAAAATGTCAAATGTCAAAAAGGAAATGTCAAAATGCGCGAGTTCTGGCGCATCCTGTATTTAAACCTACAGTTCAGCCAGACTGTTTTTTCATTTAATGTGCAAAAAAACGTGGACACGTTTGTATTTACCAAGGCATTTTCCGACTGAATCCATATACGTTTTTTTTATTTAGAAACAATAACTGAACAATACTATCGATGTTTGCACACTGGAAAAATTATGTAATACCAAAAAAAATCACAATTTGTAGACTATTGATAGCGTCTGTGCATTTTTATCTTAAAAATTTCATTTCATTTTGCGTAAACATGATTGAAAATTGAAGATCCCTTGAATTATGTGCAGACAGAAAAAAATACATTAAAATTGAAGCATTTATTTCTAGAACGATGAGATAATTATTACATCGATTCCATTTCTTATTTGCTTATAAGTTATAATAATAGACTTTTTTTAGAAATGCCTTCCTCTGCGATATAAGAAGCTTAATATTTCACACAGACATTTAAAAAGTTTCCCAATAAAGGTTTTGCATAACGACATGAATACATTACCATATAACAGGCATCATTTATTTCCTAAAAAATCGCTCTTTGTAGATCATGCCCAGACAGTGTTAATTTGTTAACCCAAACAGGCCTTTTGTGTTTAAAGTTGGGGCAAACACAGTATGCATTCGAGCGATTGAGTTCAGCTCTAGCTCTAGATCCAGTTTGTGCAAAAGCTCTACTTGGGATCGGATGCATCACTCAAGTAATACATTTCGAATTGGGAAAACAGTTTTATTAGATGATTTGTTTCAGTCGCACGATGAGCACGATGTCGCTTTGACCAAATATAAAGTGGCTGTTTCGTACGCACCGAATTCGGTGGCTCTTTGGAACAACATAGGACTGTGTTTCTACTCAAAACAAAAATATGTCGCGGTAAGTAAAATAAGTCTAAGGAAAAAAATGGAAACATAACAACGTTTCCACATTTCCACTTAATTAGGGAGTAATTTTTCTAAATTTTGTAAATACTAATGTACTAACTTTTTCCAGTACATGTACACCTGGGGAAAAAACTATTTACCAGTCTAACTTTGTACTCGGGCTGCGCTTTGTCGCAATAGTGTTTCAGACTAACTAGAGCAGGTAATATGCGAAAAACCCTTATTTAGAAAGTTGGTCCGGACTCGAAAAATGTCTTTTTGGGAAAATTACTTCAATGAGCATAGATTATAACGTATACATTAAATTGTGATTATAAGCTTGCTCAAATTATCAAATTACAAACACATAAATTTATTTAAGAAATATATTTTGCAAATTTACAGTATGTCTTTTGATTTTACGCCAAAACTGCAAAGGAAAAACATTTTTAGCTTGACTTGACTTTTAAGGTTTTTTACCTAAGCTGTAGCAGCTTTCAAAAGTCAAGATTGTAGGACTGGTTTTAAATGCCAGAAGTTTTTAATAAACTGTGAATTTTGCCAATTTCTATCAAGTTATTTCTTTATAATCAAAATTCTGAACCTAATAATACATTTTATAATAGCCAGTGAAAAAGAAACAAAATTTTCCCTTTGATTTTACGCCAAAAAAGCAAAGGAAATACTTTTTTTTTCTATAGCAGATGTTAAACTATTTCTTTAAAAACTCTTTTGAGTAGATAAAGTAACACTTTAACAGCAAGGGTTGTTTTTGCTTTATCTGAATCATTAAAACTTCATTATTCTGACTCAGTGAAAAGAAAAGTTAAAATTTTTCTTACTTTTGAACTTGAATAATGATAATGATTGTTTTTGTTAAAAATGTTTTTTTAGAAGCTGTTTTTTTTACCATTTATTAAAATTATATTTAACTTGCGTTAACTCATCTGTCAAAACGACATCGTTATCAAAAAAATAAAACGCCAATGTGATGGGATTTAAAACGCA